AATTTTTTATAATTTGAAATTAAATTCTAAAATTTAATTAAATATTTAAAAATAAGTAAAAAATTACCAATCCAATTAAAAAATTTATTATGAAAGGTTCATTATTTAATAAAATTTATTTATGTTGAAAATTTTATAGCCCGAACAATTAAGTTGAATTTAAAAAATGTCTCAACTCGTTCCAATCCAATTTCTGTAGCAAACTACGACTTATCATAATTCTTAAGAAATATAAAATTATTATTTGACCTCTCGCTCCACAAAATAGGATAATAAAGCCAAATTCCTAACTTAACCTTTGAACAAACCCAAAGGGGATCACATTTCCATAATTGATAAGGTCCTTTCTCGTCATTTCATTTTCATTCTTCCAAATTATTTTCCATCAATTTCTATCATTAAAAAACAACAATGTGATTCCAAATTTTATTTCAAAAAAGGCTGCAATTTATGAGGTCATAAAACAATTTAATTATACAAGGCATTAGATTTTTTTTTTTTTTTTTTTCTTTTTGAAGAAATGATTTTAAAATTTATTAAGTAATATTTACTTCCAATAAGAACGAAACACGTCGGAAGTCAATGGAGATGCAGAGCAGCCAAATCTGGAAAGGAGAGACGACAGAAACGTGGTCGGAGATGTTCGGGAAGTGAGAGAAAGGGATTCAAAAAAGAAAAACCGAAGGGTCTTCGAGTGGAGAAGAAGGATTCATCGGTTTCGGATTGGACCCAAAACCTACACTCAACACACATGACCCACAACCTGCGACCTAAGACTCACGCCTCAAATTGGAACGCCACCCGAACACGCGTCTCATCCCAAATCGAGTGATTTGCTTTAGTCTCAATTGAGTTATTTGCTCGAGATTCAAGTAATGTTTAAATAACCCACTAAACAAAATCAGCGTATATATGAAATTTGGTGGCCATTGGATAAGAATAAGTAGGTAACCCAAGTAACAATGCAAAATGACTATGATGCCTCGATCCATGGCCCAAATAACGTTCGAAATCACCTTATTTCATTGTGTTTAAAGATTATTCAAAGTCATTAGAGCAGGTTTAGGTACTAAACCAAAAATTAGGGGTAAAATTGACTAGAACACCCCTAGAGATCTTTGAAGTATTTTGAGGCTCAAACATCCTTCAAATGAATCGAGGATTTAAGGATGACCTATGTAGAAGGACATAAAACTTTACTTAAGATTTCAACAAGTTTGGGAGAAGTAGAGAACCGAAACCAAAAAAATGGGGTAAATGACTAAAATGTCCCTACAAGAACCTTACGAAATTTTCAAGACTCTTAGGATTTCTCAAGGTTATAAGAAACTTAAGTATGTCTTAATAAGAACTATACAAGATCTCAAAGGTTCTAGAACATGTTAGGGGTATAAGCCAAAACTTATGGGAAATGTAATGACCCAGATCCACCGCTAGCAGATATTGTCGTCTTTGGGCTTTAAAATACGTCTGCTAGGGGTAGGTTTCCACACCCTTTTGGGGCCCAGCATTCTCGTTGGCACTTTTTCCTTCTTCCAATCGATGTGGGACAACCACCAAATCCACCCCCCTTTAGGGCCCAGCGTCCTTATTGGCACACCGCATTGTGTCTAACCCTCTTCGGGGTTCCACACCCTTTTGGGGCCCAGCATCCTCGTTGGCACTCTTTCCTTCTTCCAATCGATGTGGGACAACCACCAAATCCACCCCCCTTTAGGGCCCAGCGTCCTTACTGGCACACCGCATTGTGTCTACCCCTCTTCGGGGAATAGGGGAAAGGCTGACACATCGTCTGATGTCTAGCTCTGATATTATTTGTAACGACCTAGATCCACCACTAACAAATATTGTCCTCTTTGGGCTTTCCCTTTCGCGCTTTCACTCAAGGCTTTAAAACGCGTCGGTTAGGGGAAGGTTTCCACACCCTTATAAATGGTGTTTTGTTCTCCTCCCCAACCAATGTGGGACATCACAATCCACCTCCCTTCGGGGCTGTTTTGTTCTCCTCCCCAACCAATGTGGGACATCACAATCCACCCCCCTTCGGGGCCCAGCGTCCTTACTGGCACATTGCCTTGTGTCTACTCTCCCCCCTCCCCCTTTGGGGAACAGGTGGAAGGCTAGCACATCGTCCCGTGTCTGGTTTTGATATCATTTGTAACGACCCAGATCCACCGCTAGCAGATATTGTCGTCTTTGGGCTTTAAAATACGTCTGCTAGGGGTAGGTTTCCACACCCTTTTGGGGCCCAGCATTCTCGTTGGCACTTTTTCCTTCTTCCAATCGATGTGGGACAACCACCAAATCCACCCCCCTTTAGGGCCCAGCGTCCTTACTGGCACACCGCATTGTGTCTAACCCTCTTCGGGGTTCCACACCCTTTTGGGGCCCAGCATCCTCGTTGGCACTCTTTCCTTCTTCCAATCGATGTGGGACAACCACCAAATCCACCCCCCTTTAGGGCCCAGCGTCCTTACTGGCACACCGCATTGTGTCTACCCCTCTTCGGGGAATAGGGGAAAGGCTGACACATCGTCTGATGTCTAGCTCTGATATTATTTGTAACGACCTAGATCCACCACTAACAAATATTGTCCTCTTTGGGCTTTCCCTTTCGCGCTTTCACTCAAGGCTTTAAAACGCGTCGGTTAGGGGAAGGTTTCCACACCCTTATAAATGGTGTTTTGTTCTCCTCCCCAACCAATGTGGGACATCACAATCCACCTCCCTTCGGGGCTGTTTTGTTCTCCTCCCCAACCAATGTGGGACATCACAATCCACCCCCCTTCGGGGCCCAGCGTCCTTACTGGCACATTGCCTTGTGTCTACTCTCCCCCCTCCCCCTTTGGGGAACAGGTGGAAGGCTAGCACATCGTCCCGTGTCTGGTTTTGATATCATTTGTAACGACCCAGATCCACCGCTAGCAGATATTGTCCTCTTTGGGCTTTCCCTATCGGGCTTCCCTTCAAGGCTTTAAAACGCGTCTACTAGGGGAAGGTTTCCACGCCCTTATAAATGGTGTTTTGTTCTCCTCCCCAACCAACGTGGGACATCACAGGAAAGGACTAAGTTACCCCTAATTACCCATAACCAAGATTCAAGATCTTTCTAGAACTTTCAAGGAACATATCATGACCTCACGATACTTTGAATAACTTATGCATGTTACTATGTGACTTCGTAATTTATGATATTTAAGTAAAATTGAACGAAGGAAAGATCAACACAAGACCTATATCCATTAAGACAAGAAGAACGCTAGACACAACTCAAGAATAAAGGACCCACGTTCTCATACTCAAAAACTCAAGAAATCCCTAGACCTCCTACGATACAACATGTTCATGACTTAGACTATATGGCTTATAACGTAAAAAGCCTTGGATTTATATTTTCGGACTTCATCGCTTGAAACGTAAGAAGCCTTGGATGCAAGTTTCAGCTACACCACTTGGAACGTATAAATCCCTAGGTGTAGGTATTTAGACTATGTCGCTTACAATGTAAGAATCCTTGGACATAGATTTTAAGACTGTGTCGCTTGTAAGAGAAGAACTCTTGGGTATAGTTTTCGGATTATATTACAGAGAACGCATGAAAACCTAGATGCAGGTTTACACTAAGTCTCATGTACCATAAATTCTAAGGAATTTGTCTTAGGGAATAAAATGAGAACAGAACAAGAACCAAGAATAAGACTGATGACAAGAACATAACTAAGAACCAAGGATGACGACTAGAACATGGATCAAGATCCAAAGTTCTCAAAATCAAGAACTTAGAACCTCAGAGCTAAGATCCTTAGGACGGAACTAACTTAGGAACTCAAAACCTAGGGCGAAGGTCCTTAGGCAAGATCATGGCAAGAACTCAGAACTTGAAAAAAAACCTAATGGCCTAAGTTTTCAGATAAAGAACAAGAACAAACCAAGAAAAAATGTGGTACCCTAACTATAACACTGACCAAAACTGACACAGACGCGCCTATTCGTACTTGCCACATATCACGTGAAGAGAACATGTACTCCCTCCAGATTTGTGTGGTTACTCGCGCATATACCTGCACATGGGAGATGCTCTAGTCGTGCATGATGTTTTTGTCCAGTTCAACCTCCATTCATCAGTTTTTCGTGTCGATTTCAATACTAGTCTTATTTTTCACTTAAATTAGGATCTGCCTGAGGAATTTCAAAAAAAAAAAAAAAAAAAGCTCCTAATACGTAAAAAAAAAAAGTTAACTTTGGAACGCTTCCATCATCTAAGTAGTCATTCAAACTTTTCTCAATATATAATTGTAGGGATCACTAGGACATGTTAACATGCGAGCATATCTTACCTTAGGTGGTTAGAATATGCATGAACATTTAGATTATGATTTTGGTCTTTTAGGTGTCGATAGGAATATCTCTCTAATAAAGCATGCATAATGAACCAAGTTAAGATTAAGGCCCAAAGTTAGAGTGGTTTTCACATTAACCTAAGTTAGTACGTTTCCAGTAGACCGAGTACCCTAGGATCGTAAGCGACTATCAAAGGTCCAAACATGATTGCACCCAAAGATTCTATTAGTCCCGAGGACCTATTCCCGAGCATTCTGGAAGAGTGAGATGAGATCTAAACCATCTAGAAGCCTTAAGAATCTAGTAAACCTCCATAGCACCCAAGAAAATCTTAAAAACCTTACAAGATCGCTAGCCGCATGAACAGTATTAACTTGAAGAGTTAATACTGTGTATAGAGTAAACCAACCTTAAGAATAAATAATAGACTACATAAGTTGTTAACTTGAGTAGCTACTATTGTGTCTAGAAGCACGTCAAGAGCTTGTAAACCAACCTTGAGACAGGGCGAGTGCCACTATCATGTGTGGAAACAATCAAGGGTCCTCTAAACAAGCTCCACCTTGAGAGCAGCGAGGGACCACGTGGGTAGAACGAGTAGCTAGCAGGCACACGGGGTCGCTCCCCCAAGTGTAATAAGAACTAATTCTAAGATTTAGAATGCAATGACCAAAACTCGTGTTATTTCTTTCAAGTGGGTCTATAAAAGGGTTACACAAAAAATCATATTAAAAAAAATTCCATCCAGATCCTCGTCAGCAACACAGAAGCCCCCTCACCCTTTTAGAGATATTAAAAAATGAATTACTGGTTTCAAGTTTGTTCTCATAGTTCAATGGTGATGTCCCAAAGATACAACTCTTTCTCTGGTACCCTCAACTCAATGGTGATCAAACCAGACTCCTCGTCATATCCGAACTCTACCTCCTCCGAGTCCACTGCCACTCGCTTCGGTTTGCTCGACGAATACGCCCCAAATGGCCCCGAACCACGGACTTTCAACGATACATTCGAACTTTCAGGCTGATGGTGCAGTTCTTTCACAGCTCCTCCTGAGTTGAACATCTTGATTAAACCTATGGGAGCAAACTTGATGCTGTTGGCCAGCTCCTTGACAGGAACAACAGTGAAGATTTCATATTCCCGAGCTTTCAAGGTTATTGGCATCGACGCGTCCTGTGGTAGGTAGACTACTTCTCCTGTAATGGATAAGAATGTGTAAGTTTAAGATCGGATGTCGAGTCTCGAGCGTAACTGGCAACAGGCAATCAATGTAAACAAAGACTCACCAGCAAGATGGGAGAATATGGCTGCATCCCCTGTCCAGCCATTGCCTGCAACCTTCGACAGGTAACTAACGTCTTTAGCCCGAATAACCCCTGTGATCGTGTCGGGGTTTTCGTCGTGAATCAGATTCTTCTTTCCAACCTTACACCATCCTGCTCCTTGGCAGTTAAAAACTCCGACGACTCCCGAAAGATCATTCAAATTCCAGATCTTCAGAAGACTGCAAAAATTATAAGCGCTTTAGAATACAATTCTGTTATGAAACCATGTTTTTATACCGACATGTCGAGACACGAACCTTTTTCCATCTCTAGCAGGATCCATAAACAGACAATCCTTTGTCGGTCTTCCGGGGAGCTTTGCTCTCAGGATAGAACCATCAGGGAGCACAAGCTTCCTCAAGAGATTGAAGTCGTGTTGACCGGGTTTGTCGCTGTACAATGTTCGTCGAAATCGGAGTGTATAAGAATTCATCACTAAGTCAAGACAGTTTGCAGATTAATTGATCTCAACATGTCATACCTGACATATATAGCACATCCTCCCACGGCTCGGGCTGCTCCATGATAGTCGGCCATAGGATGAAGACTCTGAAATCAAGAAGGTTTTCGAGTTAGCATCCAACAGAGTCATCGATCGAGTAAACCACGATTCGAAACTAGAACAACAACAATAACGTGTCCTTACATGGAACATATCCCAGTCTGGCTGCATAAACTCCCCAAGAAATAAGGAGTTGTAAGCAACTGATGCTATATGAATCGTGTGAGACGCCGGATCTCTTGGCCAGAAATCGTCCGATGCTCTAATAACAGCATTCCGCTTCGAACTGAAGATATTATAAACATGAAATGGTTGAGGGTTTGAAACAAACACAGCTATACATGATCATCAAACATAGAAGACAAAAGTCACCTGTATAAAGCGTCAGTACTGTGGCTCATGCACGAAATGATCCCATTGTCCCGAAAGTTCCGAGAAATCGATGCCTCGAGAGCCTGGTGGTATTTTCTAGCAAGTTTAACTCTTCCACCATGGCCTGCCCCAAGCGTCTCGAGGATATTTTGAACATCGACCTTAACTCCATCAACACCAGCAGATGCAAGATATGAGTGTTGTTCATTGTAGAAGTTGAAGATCTTTTCAGGGTTCACAAGGCCAAGTCCAGTTTTGGTGATGCTATTCAAAGCTTCACATGGCTCGTTCGAATCGACCCCAGGCGACGCAACAGGGTATGCCAGCTTAGATTCAAACTGCTCCATTTCCTTAGCTCCAGAACTCACACCACCCCAGTAGCCCGTTATGGCGTGCCACACATAGACATACTTCGTCGCGTGCTTTTCTTTCATGTAGGACACCATGTGCTGGAGACCGAGCTCGGGATCCTCAACTCGCTCACCCTCCTTCCCATCTTTCTGAAACTTGTAATTCTCTTTTATGTTTGTTAACCTGTTTGCAAAGCTGAATAAAACACAATCAAGTTAGCCCAACTGGCCATTGATCAACGAAGAACATGAACATCATCAGAAATTAGCAGCTTACTTCGCCGTGTTATCAGCTTTGCAATCAGCGCTAGCCGAATCCTTAGCGACCGATTGCCATCCATCGTCGATAATGACGAACTTCGGAGGAATTCCCCCACTCTCAAAGCTGCAATACTCAAATGTTAATGATTTTTCCAATATTAGAATCAAACAGAGTTGAGGAATATGCAGTCAAATTGAAAAACACCTCTCGAGCCCCTTCTTCACGCCATCTGAATCGACCTCGGTGTAGAAAGCATCCCACGTACACCAGCCAAACCAGTTCAAGATATCAGGCATCTACCAAATATCATACATAAAATAGTTAAACGATACTGATCCATAAGAAATCGAGCTCGAATCTAGTTAAATCAATGAAACATGTCGCATCGTGATGATCGAGCTACCTTCTTCCTATCACGATGAGCAAATGTCTGCAAATGTTTCTCAACAGACCTATGCAAATGAAACGAAACAAACATGAGATATCTAAACCAAATGCAGAATTGAAACGAAATAGAACCATTCAAGCTCGAAACATACTTCACTGCATATGTAATGGTTTCAAATGGATCTGATCCAGCACCCACAAAGACCAAATGGCTACCCTCGAACCCATCTACGGCGGGGTCGCCTGCAACCAGCCAAGGATTCAAATCTCCATTAAAAGAACTGCAAATTGTTCATGTAGTTCTTGTTTTGTTCCTTAATTTTCTCCTCCAATTCTAAGATATTATGGAAAGCTCTAAGATCAACGTCATTTAATCATACAGTCCCGATCCATATTCAGTTCGATGTTCATGTTCATACTATTGGATCCATTAGGTTTCATTTAGATTTGGTAATCCAGCATATGATCCTGTTGTGATGCTTCTAATTCTCAAAATATCAGGAGTTGTTCATAGCTTTGAATGTGAATTCCGTTTGAATTTCTTTATTCTTTTCGAGTTATGAGTTTTGATCTAATGCGTTTGAGTTTCTCAAATTCTTACCACTTTCTAAGCAGATTTCAAGCTCATTATTGTCATTCCCCTGAAGCACAGCTCTGAAATCGCCTTCAAGAATAGGAAGAAACACCGTGTAAACGGCGGCGCCCTCTGCATTTCCGGTGAAGTTCGAGCCGTCCCGAGCTTCCACCACCATAAACTGAGTCTCGAATGGAATTTCTTGGCCGGAAGTTCCCATTCTTTGAGTCATCCACCACAATTTGAATCGAAAAGCACACAAGAATCTCAAATCACTGCAAATTAAACACCAAATTTCATTATCTCAAACCCTAAAATCAATCGCAATAACAAAAAACACAGAAACGTACATCAGTTTCCCAACAGGAAAAACGCGGCGAGAACCGATCTGATCGGAGTTAACTCCAATGAAGGCTCCATTCATCACACCGCCGCCAGGCGCCGGCGTGACGGTGATATTATTATGAACATCGGACAAAACAGGATTTCCCAAAACCGTCAAATTCCCATCGGACAAAGTGATTCCAGCACCAACCGTCATGGTAACCTCCTTCTTCTTCTCTTCCGATCTACTACTCTTAACCACCGCTGCCGCAACCGGCGAAGAAGAACAATTAGAAACAGAACAAACCGACGAAAACCCGCGACTCAAAGAACAAGAAGAACGATGTAAAGAAGGAAGAGAAGAAAAACGAAACAACAGAGAAGAACGACGAAAAGGAAAAAGGGTTGATGTAAAACGAATGTGTTGAAGTAAAGACGCCATGGAAATGGGTATTTATAGCAGAAAAGGGGATCAAAACGTGGTGCGATGGTAGTTGAGAAAAAAAAAAAATTAAAGAAATGGGGCCAAAATAAAATTTGTTTGGCGGGAAAGTCGAAGAACTGTTGCTGAATCTGTATGTGAATCAATTGAAGGGGTGTGTTTTGTTGTGCAGGGAGAAGGAGTAGAACACGAACATGTTCTTTGTTTTAGGGTTGTCCGTCACGGGCTGCGAGCGCCATGTGAGTTGCTGGTCGAATCAGATGAATCAGTACCGTTGCTTCTGCACAAAACAGGGAAAACGGGGAAGAATACAAAACGCAGTCAGTGTTGCAGCTTGCAAATTGCAATTTATTTATTTAATTTTCTTTTTTTTTTTTGTTCACGTGTTTCAATAATTTTTTGGGACTGTAAATCTCCGCATATGTAGGTAAAGGAAAAGTATGAAATTAGGTTGAATTTTTAAAAAATTAAAACCTCTAGTTAATTTGTTCCCGGGTTTAACATTTGTAACCAATAGTTATGATATTTTAGTCAGTATATAGAGAATTTTTAAAATAATTAAAAGAATAATTCGATAACTCAATCCAACCTAATTCAATCCTAAAATATAGGGTTAGATTGGTTGAGTAGGATTGTGAAGTTTATTTGAGTTGGTCGGGTGACCAACCCAACCAACCTGTACTCCTACCACACAAATCTGAGTAAAATTAATATATTATCAAAAACGGTTTAATATAAAAATTAAAATATAGCAGCCTAGATCTACCGCTAGCAGATATTGTTCTTTTTGGGATTTCTCACGATGTGTCAGTCTTCTCGCTATTCCTCGAATGGGGTAGACACGAGGTGGTGTGCCAGTAAAGACGCTAGGCCCTATAGGAGGGTGGATTTGGGGGCGGTCCCACATCGATTGGAGGAAGGAAAGAGTGCTAGTGAGGATGTTGGGCATCGAAGGGTGTGGATTGTGATGTTCCCACATTGGTTGGAGGGGAGAACAAACCATCATTTATAAGGGTGTGGAAACCTTCTCCTAGCAGACACGTTTAAAGCTTTGAGGGAAAGCTCGAAATGAAAATCGAAAAGAAGACAATATTTGCTAGTGGTGAGTCTAGGTTGTTACATAAAATATTTAAATTTTTAGCCTCACCTGAGTTTTTAAATATATATATATATTATTTTTTATATAAATTATGATGTTTCAGATAATAATTTTATTTAATTGATGTCTCCAATTATATGGTAAAAAATCAATATTTTGTTAATGGTGGATGTAGAAGAAAATCTTATTTATTTTAAATTATTTTTATTTCCCAGAAGATACTAATTATAATATAATAATAAATTTAATTTTCAATTTCTAATTTTTTATACATTATTTTGCGACATGATATATTTAAAAAATCTTAAGGAAAACATGAAATATGTCGTATATATGAAATAGCTCATTATTTATTTAAAAACAACTTAAAATATTTTATATTTCATTATACATACATACATACATACATATATATATATATATATATATATATATGATTGCACTGAAGGAATTAATAATATTTTAAATCAATAAGTACACTTTTATATTATATAACTTTGTTGATTTCGTCTTTTAATCTAAACAAAAATGTCATTAAATTTTAACATATAAAGACAAAATGTAAGGACCAAAATCAAGATTATATATATATATATATATATATATATATATATATATATTTTTTTTTAATAATATAAGGACAAAATATAATAAGTGACAAATTACGAAAACAAAGGTAAGATTTGAAACGGTAATTATATTTTGGAGTACATTTTGTATTCATATGGTAAAAAAATAATCATAATACAATAAATATTGTAGATATTTTTACTAACTAAATCTTTATAATTTAAATTTAATTTTTTGAAAATATATTTTTTAATTAATGAAATTAGGTAATTACGTGTCAAAATAAGTTAAAGCAACTAGCTACAAATTGGGGGGGGGGGAAAGCTTACGTGTTGATTTGGACCACAAAAAGGCCAACCATGGGGTTTCAAGAACCGGCGTATCACTAGATAACTCCCTTAATATCTAAATCTCATGCCACTTGAACCTGACGTGGCTCCACGTCGACGGAGTAAACATCTGGTAAGGTCAAAACCACGTGAGCGCAACACGTGGCGTGCTATTATTCATTGATTCACACCAATTATTTACGTTAAAAAAATATTTATTTTCCATTTTTAGCATTTATAATATTTACAAATGGAGATAAAAACTAGAAATATTGATAATAAATAAGATTTAAAATATTAAAATAAATCCAAAAAAAGGTTGGCGGGTAGAGGATTTTGACTTGGCCCAACAGGAAAGCAAAACGGCGTTTTGGAATGATTATTATGAAAGGGAAAGTTAGTTGGATATGAGAAGGAGCCACGTCGGAATAGAAGAGGAGACAGCTCAGATCCGTGTTGGCAAATGAATTGTGTCCAAGTTAAAAGGAAAACAACCTTTTTGAGTTCTTGGTTGTTATGCAATTTCCTTGTCCCCTCCTCCACCGACTTTAATAATTCTACTCCCGATCCGATCTAAATCACTTGTTTATTGACCCGACCTCATTTTAATTTTTTTATTTTTCTGGTGGGTCATCGACCTTTGATCTATGTCTACCCAAAAGATATGTGTTCGTGGAAGCTTAAAAAACTAGTCTGTAAGTTGTTGTGAATGTTCCAAGATAGCTCTTTTGGAGGCTCGTGTTATAGTACTTCACTAGAATTAGTTTTTTGACATGACTCTTGCTAAATGACCAAGGGTTAAAAGGCGTTATTTAACGTGACATGTCCAATCCTCGAGAGTATGAAAAATTTACTTTATGTATATTAAATGCATTTCATAATGGTAAGGACCATGACCTAACTTTTTATGGGACGGGAAGTTTAGGAAGAAAAAAAATAACCATTTGGAATATTTTGAATAAAATATTGACACGCAACAAGGAATTAGGCACTATATCTATAAGCATGAACTTTGACTTATTTAAGCATGATATCGAAGATCAAGCTAAAAATAAATAAAAATTTAATTATGCTGATATCTAATTCTAATTTATTTGTTTGTGTTATTCGGACTCTAGTATATGTATGAATATATTAAATATGCACGATGAATATAATAATCTATTTATACTATAATTTATATTTGACATCATTTTATGTGACGTAGAGGTTATGTATGATGGATTACCGAGTCTCTTTTCTAGGTCCTTAGTCACATTTAAGGTTTGTTACGATGTTATGGCTCGGCTATACTATGTAAGAATGATTAGGACATAACCCCTAATTGTGAACTTAACTTCACTGGTTAGAGTCTACTTAGAATACAAGAATGCAACAACACCCACTTAGGGTCCACGACAAGTTAGGTGGTACTATTGAGGGAGCTTAGATTGTGCTTAGTGATTGATAGACTCGAGTGTCATGTTCAAGCAATAACTTAAATGGTCTATAATATATGGATAAGGTTGGGTGACTTATCTTGGTAAGAATATTGATACAACTCACTTTGTAATTGTTACAAATGATTTGTGAGCGTGATGGTCTGCCATTTCATTTGGTTGGGTGAGAATGTCTTTGTGGAAATAGACACGGATCTATCTCCATCCCTAAAGCCTAGTTATTATAAATTGTCCTTGTCCTACACTATGAGAACTCGGGTCTCATCTTAAATATCATGGTCTATAATTACTTAATATCCAACGGGCCCTAAACCATGTTAGAAATCACGACTCTCCACAATGGTATGATATCGTCAACTTTGAGCATACGCTCTCATCCTTAAAAGGTCTCATTCCAATCGAGATAGTATTCATGGCTTATAAATCCATGATTATTCCCTAAATTAACCAATGTGGGACTCCATCCCAACAAACCGAATAAAGTTATTTACCAAACAAAGAAAGTACAATACCGAATCGTTAGGTTAAAAGTCAAGTACGATCATGACGTTGAAAGTTGAAAAATGGTGTGAATATATGAAAAGTTATCCTTACTGTGTTACAACTTGAACCAGTGCAGAATACGTGTGGAATTTGGTTGGTTGGAATATGAGTGGTTGCCCTTCTTTTTTCATTTTAATCCATAAATCAAATAGCCCACATTTTAAATGGAATATTTAATATATATATTTCAAATGTCAACATAAATTAAAAAAATTAAAATTAAAATTTTCTTATCATCTTATCCAAATTAAAATTTAATTCCGTCTGGAATATCTCCTTTAAAAGATGGATAATTAATAAGTTTAAATTTCTCTTTGATTTAATTAATAAAAATTAAAATAATTAATATTCGATATTTCATATTTGAGTTGAATGAGATTTTAGATAAAATAAATTTTTTTTTAAAGTAATTAAAAAAACAATCTGACTATTCAACTCAATCTAACTTAAAAATCGATGGTTGAATTGGGGTGAGTTATGAACTCTATTAGGTGTAGATAGGTATCTCAGCTCTTCAATAATTTGATTTAACCTCCTAATTTGTCGATCGGTCGGTGGGTGAAATGTTAGACTGAATTTTAATTGTCTCTTGGAGACTTTTCTAAAATCAGGATGTAACTCGAGCATCTCTATCGGACACAATAATAATTGGTACGCCATGCAATCGTACAATTTCGTCAAGTATAGCTAGGCTCGTCTATCAACCGAGCTAGTCTTAATCAACAACTGCAATGTCTCCTAAATAATCAATGTGGGTTACTTCTAAAGGTGTCGTCTTCCCATGTTTTGCCCTCACCATATCCACTCTAGATGTGCTAGGTTCCAATTTAGTGTCATGGAAATATGTTACCCAAACAAATGATTGATCGACTATATAATTTTCATACAATCTACTCAATGCGCAATTCAGCCAGACTAATATGATCCAAATTGTCTTGTCTACAAAACTTATAATCGAAGCTATGATACCAGTTTGTATTTCGGGCTCGTATGTAAGACTCGCCCTTGGAAAAATAAGAGTTTTATACTAAACTCTATAGCAGTTTGAAATAGCACACAACCTGACGGTCAAGAATACTCATTATTCTTGTTTAAGCACACAGAAGGTCGATCAAGGGATTAGTAAACTAAAAATACAAATACACCTCAGATCATAACCAACGCATAGACATAAACTAAAGACACGCAGCACACATACTAATCATGAATTACTAACATGCTCACATCTTAGGCATGTTTTCACAATTATGATAGATATACTAAGCTCGTAATGATATCGTAACATGCGAACTACAACAAGTTAAAATTTTAAAATAATATTTGAGACATTTCAATGAATTTTTAAATATTACATTTTGCATCAATAAGTAGCTTAGCCAAAGTAAATGTGTATGCCAACTGGGATTTAGCAACAAACAAATTCAGCGGAGCATGATTATTACAGAAAAATGTTATTTTTATTATATTTAAAATATTACGTGTTTTTAGTACCAAAGCTCCGTTGTCGTCCAGCGGTTAGGATATCTGGCTTTCACCCAGGAGACCCGGGTTCGATTCCCGGCAACGGAAGTTTTTGTATTTTTGGATGAAAAATAAGATATATACAACAATAAGTAGGTATAATAATATCTGGCGCATCTAGTGTAGTGGTATCATAGTACCCTCCCACGGTACTGACCGGGGTTCGATTCCCCGGATGCGCAATAATTTTTCATTTTGTTAATTATTTAACAATCAAATACTGAGTTATTCTTATTAAAAATATATTAAAATTGGAGGAGTGAAAAATAGTTTTTTTTTAAAAAAAAAATTTATTTTATTATAAGTAAACCGCCTTGTCTGGTCGTTAAAAATAATTTTAAAAAAAAAACTTTTATTTATGCACTATTATTATTCAATACCATTTTTAAATAAATATATTAAAAGACTACTACTTACCATGAGTAATTCAGCCTAATTACCATTCCAACACACGAGACTACTACTTTTATAAGATTTTGTTCGGTATGGGTCTGTTTGAAATGTTGTTTGATGAACTCGAAATTCGAACCAAATATTTTCAATTTCATAAAATTAGTCGAACTCAATTCGAAATTTTAATTCAACCTAACCCAATTCTAACTCTTATCATTTTAGTTGGATCGGTTCGAGTTGTCGAGTTTAATATATATCTCTAATAAAAAGAAAATAAGGAAAAAAGTAATATTATTAAAGTAATATATCAAACCAAAAAAGTATTTTTAGTTAAAGGTTCATGAAAAAGTGATGGGACCATTTAAAACAATTTCTTTTCGATAATAAGTACATTTTGAAAGTGACTTTATAAACTTTATACGTAATTTAACCCAACTTTACGACGTTGAATTTAAAAATTATATAAATCAAAATTGGTTCATATTTGACATTCACCAATAAAGTGTTTGTTGGACAAAAACAAGACATGCGGTAGTTGCGTAGTTTATTTGAATTTGTGTTTTTTTTGATGTTTCAACCGAACAATTTGATGCAAATATGTCGTGGAGCTTACGTGCTTCGCATTTCACTCAATTCCAATAAAACAATCTAAGTTTCATAATCAATACAATACTTTTCCGTTTTTATATTCTTTTTAATAAATTTATATTTTTAATAAGCCAAATGCTTTTTATTTTTTCATTTTTTATTTTACAAAACAATTATAAAAATAAATATGTTATGTAAAATTAGTGATTTTTTAAATTTTATTTCCACGACATACGAAAAATTATATTTAAATTTACCTATTTATATTGTTGTATTATTTAAAAAAAATTATACAAATAAATTAAATAGTCATAGCAGCATTCCAGAAACAGCTGGCCCAGTAGATGGATTGTCGGCCCATTTAGCAACAGCTGGCCCAGTAGATGGATTGTCGGCCCATTTGGCAACAGCCGGCCCAGTAGATGGATTGTCGGCCCATTTGGCAACAGCTGGCCCAGTAGATGGATTGTCGGCCCATTTAGCAACAGCTGGCCCAGTAGATGGATTGTCGGCCCATTTTGCAGCCCAATCAGATAAGCCTGCTTGATCAATGATGAAAGTGTTTTTGAGTGTTGATTCAATTCTCGATTAGTGATGTGCTTTATTTTGTTAGACCCTCAGCTACTAGGGCACTATAGTTTTTCAAGCTGGGATAGGGTTGTTAGTGACGTGGGTAATTTTCTATATGTTATGTTATGGTCTTAATTTTATCCTATCGAGTGCAATTTGGGGTTGCACGTGTGCGTTTGTTGAGTTTTTAGAGATTTTATTATTTGTTCATGTGGTTTAACATGTTTTATCTAGAGGGGATAGGGTTGTTTGATTGTCTGGTTGTCTTGTTGATCCAGGGTATTCTCAGTGAGTGCTTGAGAGGTTGTTTGGCCCGGTAGAGACGTGGTTCTATGGCATAAGTTATGATTTTTGAGCTACACTCCTTTATAGCTTGGTTGCCGATTCATGATCGTTTATATTCTCGAAATTGGCTTTATAGGTAGAATTCATCTGTTCTTACGACCTGCTTATATGTGAATTGGGTTTAGAATTGAGGGATCATGTATTTTTTTATTGTCATTTTAGTCGGTTGCATGTGGAGAGATTCTCGTTTAGTGTAACAACTTGAAGTTTTTTTAAAAATCGTTAGTTGTAGCTATAAAAGCCCAACGACTTGTCTCCCCACATGAAGCATCGCACGCAACTCAAGGAGAGAGTTCGATTGGAAGCATTTTGTCGTTGGCTACTTCTTACGTTAGTGACTTCGTCTCATTAGCTCACGTTGGCGTCTATTAGTGTGCCTAGCTCTAATTTGTGATCGACTTCGTCTGACCTGTCTTCTAAAATATATGAGAAAACTTGAATGAGTACATAGATTCAATAAGTAGGCTCTTAATTGTATCTTTAAGGTGTACTAGGGTACGACACTATTTCTTGTTATGTTGTTGTTCTTGACGTGAGAGCTTAGGCTGTAACAACCCGACTTTCCTAACATGTACTGGTTGTAGTCGTCACTTAGCAATTAAAAATTTATAATTTAAAATACATGAAAACATGCTCGGGTAAACGATTAAATTTATAATTAAAATACATGAAAACATATCGTGGAGGTCATCCCGTGTCAAGCTTTTATTTGTTACTATAGTTAAACATAACAAAAATAATTTTGTTGAAAAGTTGGTCTCTTCAATTTTGGTGAAAAAATCGAGTTGATTCGAGTTACCTTGAAAAAGTTATGAAAACCTAAAATCAAGGAGTTGTTTATATTAAGTTAAGATTAGAGTGCTAGAGTTAGGCGAGTTAAACGATGACCTAGGTCAAGACACCTCCAATAGATCGAGCACCTTAAGATCGTGAGTGGCGATCAGAAGTCTAGTTGTAGAACTTCCCTCCTCTCCGGGTCTGTCTCACAATTCCTTCTCCTCTAAACCCTAGTGCTCCTAGACCAAGAAAACTCGAGGAGTTAATCGGAGAGCCTTGGAGTAGAGAGCTAGTGTTTTAATCAGTCTAAACACCCTAGGAACCTAGTAGACCTCCACGACGCTCATGAATGACTAAGGTAGCTCTCCAAGTCACTAGTAGTGTGAACGGTGTGTCATTAGAATATCCACTGCCCTATCCACTCCGATATCTCAATGGCGTTATTAACGACCTACGTCAAATCCAATAGCACCCCTTGCCAAGCGGTAGGTTAGAAGCAATACCGTCAATCTAGACCTATGCCGATTAGGATAGTACATCGAGGCAACTAGAAAAAGTAGCTGGACCACATAAGAGGGGGACATGGACCACATAGGTAGACATAGTAGCTAGCAGGGCACATGAGGATCACTCCCCCTAGACTAAAAATGACTCTATACCTCTATAGAAGGGTTCACCAATTAACCTTCCACAGATGAGTTTATTGAAGTAGTCAGTGGTTCATTGCTTAGGCAAGACAAGCCATGTGAGTCGAAATACAAAAAAGTTGAGTAACCTGCATAGACCTCAAAAAGTAAAAATCAGATCAAAGAACCGCTCAGAGCATCAAAGCCTCTCCAAAGACTCAGACAACAATAGAGATTAGGTCCAAACTTCTTAGAGTATCAGAGAAAAGCCTATGGTAATCTAGTAGGATAAAGATGCCATAAGAACTTACAAATAGACTGCTTACTTATAAATTAAATTAAAACTTTAGATACTCGAAAAACATATAAAATTTCATACCAGGCCACTCCTCAACTTTTCAAGCACAATCATTACAAGTAGAGAGAAAAAAAAAAGACATATGAAACTTCGAAAAAGTGAGATATTATTTAAGCAACTTTATAGTATATAACAAAAAACCAACTAAAATCGCCACTGCATCTTTAATTCATTATGGTTTAAAAGTCAAAATTTTAATATTTTTTTAATTGAAACTACCCATTGGTTAGAGACTCACTTTATCCGACGCCCATGAAATATAAAAATATTATGAAATATAAAAATATTATGAAATATAAAAATATTATGGAAGCGAAGAAATTCAAACCTCTGAATTATTTAGATCGATAATATATTATTTATATTAAATTAAAAAAAAAATTGTAATTTTTAAATATTAAAATTAATTTAGAATGACATCGGCCCACATTTTTGCAAACTTGCCGTAGAATTGATTTGTTCCAACGAACGCAGATTTGGATTTGCTTCTAGAAGCCCTCACAAGTCACGTGTTCCACGTCCACACTGACTCCACACCATCCACTATATTTTCCCGGACCTTTATTTAATATATATATATATATATATATATATATAAATTATAATGATATCAATAATAATTTTAAATAAAATAACACCATAAATAAATAAATAATAATTTTAAATTGTTTCTAGAAACATGAAAAAGAAATAATTAAATAATCATAATAAAAATAATAATAAAAACCTTGTTATTCCATGTGGGCTCCACGCGTACACACGTCTCAAAAACCGCAGGGCCTCACGGTTTGTTCATCAATCTTGGTGCTCAGTCCTCTCCCTCAAACTCATAAAACCTAACCCTAATCATTCCTCATTGTATCTCCACACTCTCCGTTCTCTCGATTCTCCGTATTCTCTCCACCAATTATCTTCCATGTCTGCTGCCAATCTCTTTGCTCCGCCCATGGCTTCCGTCCATGTCGCCACCGGATCGCGTCGCTCCTCTGCTAGTTTCTACGACATCCTCCGCGTCAAGAACAACGCTTCCTCTGTTGAAATCAAGACTGCCTACCGGAGTTTAGCGAAGATTTACCATCCGGACTCGGCGAGGAAATCGGACTGCGATTCCTTTTCTTCTGATGATGGATGCAGTTTCCTTGAGATTCACAATGCGTACGAGACGCTTTCGGACCCTGCTACTCGGGCTCATTACGATCTTGCTTTGGCTGCTCTCACTAGACGGGCGTTTCTTCGATCGCGGTCTAGGCCGCATCGGCGGTGGGAAACGGATCAGTGTTGGTAGGGGAATTGGATTTTAGGTCGGTGAGAGCTTGTAAATTTGGTGATGATTTGGATTTTTGTATAGAAATTTTTGAATGTTCTTCGTCATTCGTATTCGAGGAAATTTTGCTGTGGCTACTTGTTTTGCTATGATCTGGATCTGTTCTGTTTGTGGAATTGAATGCCGAAGAACATTTGGACTTTTTTTTTTTTTTTTTTGTTTTAAGACGTAGATTTGAAGGGAAAAATTAAGAGTATCTAGAAATTAAAATTGGCGTGATGTAGAAGATATGATTGGAGTGGAAAACACGAAAATGTTCCTGAATTTATGCATCCACTGGTCATTCGTTTTCTTCTTCCTAGCTCAACTGCCTTTATTTCGGAATAGGTTAAGAACTTGATATTTATTTGTTCTTTAATTTTCGTTTGTTGTAGCCCAAAAATTCATTTTTATCCTATATTCCTTACGAATTTAATTGAAGTTGGACCATAGGCTTGATTAATGGTCGACTCTATCAATTTAAATATTATAATCATCCAAACTAATAATTTGGATGGTATCAATTTAAGTTTTGTAATCTTTCCAAAAAATAATCATCCAAACTAATAATTGTATAAATTTAAATTTTATAATCGATGAAAGAATTGAGTATAATAATCATCCAAACTAATAATTGTATAAATTTAAATTTTATAATCGATGAAAGAATTGAGTATTTAAATTCAACTCACGACAAACAAGTGCATGAACACATAAAATTTCATCGATAACGATATTTTCTTATTACCAAACACATCAACAAAAACTTCTAACACGAATAACACTAGAAAATCATTCCAATACATACGAGTAGAGCGATCAAAGAGCGTCTTCTACTTTGATCCTTAGCCGATCCTTAGCTATTCTTGATCAAAGAGTGTCTTCTACTTTAATCCTTAGCTATTCTTATCTTCGTGAATTTCATAAGAATTGTATATTTGTTTATATACCAAAAAGTAAATTTGATACACGTTCATCATAGGTATGTATGAATATGAAAAATCAAATCATAATCGAGTCGAAAAATAGTTTATCCAATAAAATTTAAATCCGAAGGTAAGTTATGTTTAAATGATATTAAAAACCTGAGTCAATTATGGAGTGTTCTTATCTTCCCCCACGAGAAGGAAAAAAAAAAAAAAAAAAAAAAAAAAAAAAAAAAAAAAGAAAAAAAAAAAAAAAAAAGAAAGAAAAGAAAAGAAAAGAGAAAAGCTTTTCTTAATCTTCAAGTTCTTGGTAAAGTTGAATTCGAGCTCCGTAATTTAATTCACATTTCTCCGCGAAGACTTTCACGTTGTGGAGAAGCACCAAGGAACCAAAAGGGATTCAGTTCGTTCACAGAAAACACAAGATGAGAATCACTGTAATGACGGCCGACGAACAGATTGTTTCTTTGGATGTTGATCCCAATGAATCTGTAAGTTTCTTTATCTTGTTCCGCCCAACTCTAATTTCTTACATTTCCTTGTTTGTTCGATTCAATCCGCTTTCCTTTTGCCCCTGATTGCTTGCTGATATTAGAGTTCTTCCTCTTTGCTGCCAAATAGGTTGAAAACGTGAAAGCTCTGCTTGAGGTTGAGGTGAGAATTCGTTGTTTATCTTGATTAAGGTTGGTATCTTTATTGGGGAAACCGGGGGAAAGAGTTAGCTCTATTGTGAATTTGCTACTTTCTATGATTCGAAACCATCGTACATTTAAGACTAAGCTCATTGGAAGTTCTCTTGTTTAGTGGTTAGCTCATTGTATGTATGTTTTTGACTTTGGTGCTGCTCAGATCCAAGTACCGCTTCAGCGGCAGCAACTGCTGTACAATGGAAAGGAGATGAAAAATTCTGAAAAATTGAGTGGGTTGGGTGTTAAAGATGAAGATCTGATTATGATGGTATCAGCTGATGCATCTAGGTACGTTCTCAGACTGTGGCATCTTTTGTTTGGATTTAACTCCTAGTTCATCTTTGTGAATCTCTTGAAAAGAAACTTGTCAAGCTAAAGTTTGTGAACCACTCCGTGTATCTGTTAACTATGAAATACTTAGCCAACTCATTGGGAATTGTTTAAGAGCAGGAAGTATCTCCATTCTAATTCATGCTTAGCTTAGTTAATCCTTTCCTTTTCTTGGGGTGGTGGATGTTCTTAATGGCTATTGTTTAGAGGGGTGGATAGCGGTTTAGTTGAAGTCTGTTATGTAAGGTGGGTAATGTATATCTTAATCTCGTGAATTCTATGCACGTCTTTGGATTCATTTACGGTCTTAGAATCAATAAGAAGGCTCTTTGTTGATATACTTGGTCTAACTTTGAGTCGTAGTCTCTAACCATTATTGTGGAGAATAATTTTGCCTCTCCCTACTTTAAAAGCTAAGAAATATCTCAAAGAGTTGATGAAGATCATACTAATCACAACGATAGAAGAGGAATGAGGACAAATCTTTTGGCTATGCTTGTAAAAGACAAGGGAGACCATTTTGAGGGAGGGCTTGTCTATCAAAGTGGCTTGGCGAAGGGGCTGATAGGAAATGCTTTTTTCCTCTTGCCGTTATAGGAAATCTATATATGGTTAGACGCACCCAAAAGGAATTAGAGAATTCAAGAATCTTGCTTAATCAATTAATTATGTCGGTTGTTTTGGATGACCTCTAATGTGGTTAGGTTCTTCTACTGAAAAAAGAGCCATAGTGAAAAGACCTAGCAATTCCATGGGGTTATTCTTATCAAAATAAGGCTTAAGTTGATTAATTTGTGAGTATTCTGTTTGGAACTCCAGAAATTTTGATCAGCTTCCTTATGCCTTGCAGTCTCTGTTTACAAGGATGATCTAGCTACGTGGGTTTTGTAGGTGGTCGTATGCAATGTGTAGTTAGAATATTAGTTTAATTGATAGTTTTTTTTTTTTTTTTTTTTTTTTAA